CACTCTAACCCCTACCTTATTTACTACTTCGACTTAGTGAAAAGGGAAAAAAGTTATTTTTGCGGTCAAAAGAGGCTACAATCACACTCACCATATTTTGGCGCGGACATCACGGTGACCGCGAAGAGTAGGACCGCAAATAGACCCCTTAAAGGCATCGTAGACCCCTAATTATCTCCAAGGCCTAAAAAAAGAATAATTTATTGTCACGAAGACTCATTCCACGTCTTTTGGGAGTCACGATTAGAGGGCCGCTGACTGGCTCTGATTCCTTGAGGTGAAGGGGGTCTTTTTTAATCAATGGCCTGGAAGAAATTACTTCCAGAGGCATTTCTTATGTGGCCAAATAGGTACTCTAGGGAGAAGTTATTAGACGTAATAGGCAAATCCTGTCTTTCCTATCCACTACATTATAGAAACGAGCGATAAAAAGCGGTTTCACTTAGCCTAGAATAAGGCAAATAGGTGCTTCCACCCAAACCATTCTTCCAGAATCAGGTTGCATGAGAACAGCGACAGCAGCCCTCAGAAGGAATTGCACAAAAATCCTGTTCCCCAAGAAACCTAAACTTTAAATTTATGCACCCAGAGTGAGGGCCAGACGTAATTTCGCCCCACCCGATACAGCCTACAACTCAATTATATATTTCGTTGTAAAATCTCCCATAGATATTGTTGGTACAGAAATTGCATGCAAATGGTTCAGGTAGCCCTGAAAGACCTTTTTCACTGCTGCTGGAGGCATTGTGTGTCCAAAATGTAACGCCTTATTCCGCGGTGTGTTGAGAGAGCCTATTTCTCGGCCTAAAACCAGTTATGAGTACGGTCCGATGCAAGAAGTTTGACTTTGATAAAAAAAACTTTCTCCATGATGAATGTATTTACGTAAAAAGCACGAGGCACCTCCAAAATGCGTGAAGGTTGTCAGTAGTCCACCCTCCGGCATTATGTATCGCCCCGATCGCAGTATGTTTAAGCACCACAAAAATGTTTGTAAACAGTATATCAACAGGGGCAAGTCGTTATACATAAATAACCCATTGTTTCACCTGGGTGGTAACAAACAGCGGGATTCACTCAGCAGGAGAAAAAAAGGAGAGGCGCACTAGAGACAAAACTCGTAGCGGTCACTAAGTCACAAGACGGGGTTGTCTTCAATGGACCCCCAAAAGGTCAGGTGCTTGCAGACTCGGACCTTAATGGTACAGTAAATTTTGTCAAAAGAATACATTTGTATGCGTGGAATTCACTGCTTCACGACAATCAACGCCTCCGATGATGAAGGCTGCTCCCTCTTGATACATGAGCAGAGGAAGCAAAATGCACAGATCTCTCCTTGCAAAAAATGAAAGAAAAAGCAGGAAGATTGAATTTAGAGACAACTTAGAGACATGTCGAAAGTGAAATTAGCTTAAGACAATTCGGCAGGAGGTAAACAAAATCATTCACATCTCCTCCTCATCATTTCTCATTTGAGAGCGTGAAGAAGGGCGCATCAAAAAGTGTTTATCGCCAAAATCCATCCTAGCACATTCATTTGAGATAATGAGTAAGCTGCTTTGCCATACTTTCAAAGTAAAGGTGGACGAATAAATCCTTCCCGAATCAAAAGTACACAATACTCTTAAGCGGCTCTCGCCATTCCTCTGCAAAAATGGAGTAGACCTGTCTACAAGGCCGCCTCCAGGATTTGGACAGAAAACATTACATGAAAAAGGGGAAGAATGGCAAGTCAACTCACGTGTGATTAAGGTAAAATTTAGTAGAGATATTAGTTACAGCCACAAGGAGATTTTAACAGATCGACTCTCTCGCTGATTGGTCTGATCGAGTAGCCAATCAGCTCCCGCCTCTAAGGTGTTGGCCAATAGGCTGTTTGTTTACATCCTCCATAAGAAAAGCTTATTTTTACTAGGGCTGTCTTGACCTTTCGGCATCGAGAATGTAACAGTTTGTTAGCTTAAAATCGCAAGAAAAGTAGCGAATCAAGATATCTAGGTTCTACAGGAATACCGGATTTAATTAGGTCCTAATACCACCTTAGCGGTGATTAGCTAAACAACAAAAGGAGGTTTATCAGAAATAAAATGCTTATTTAGAGTGCGTTGTTGTATGTTTCAAGGGAAGGAAATAAGGATTTGCCAAAAAAGCAAAAGAG